TATAGCAAAACGCCCTCAACTCCGATAGACGCTAGAGATTTTTGGAAGAAAAGGAATATAGCAACATCGCCCTCAACTCAGATAGACGCCTATCTCAACGCATTCGTCCGTTTCCAGGAACCACTAATAGAGGAAAGTGTGTGAAGGAAAGGGACTCGTTGTGGGAAACAACTGTGGATGAACCCTATCTCACCCAGTTGAGAAACTGCATTGCTAAGAAACTAAGTGGGTAAAGTTGACTTCAAGCAATGGCTAGGGGTCTCTTGGCTTGTGGTACTTGAAGGTGCCACAGCGACTTTAGGCGGGATGACTTTGATAAGTGAACCCTTCTCACTGAATAGCCCCCCCCCCTTCTAATTTGAGGAATAGGAGATGTAGATCAATGAGGACCAACGGGGGAAGAGTAATGGCTCAAGCGAGTTCACCCATGCGGCAAGGGCGTGCTTTTAGGAATGAGCTCTTATAAAGCCTCTGCAGTGTTTATCTCTCCGAAGCTAGTTGGTCGGGTCAGCAGACTAGTCCTAGGAAGGAAAGCTGAATTCACCGACGGACAGCCCAGCAGATGTTGTTCATGCAAGATATCCATTCAAAAATATCTGCAACTCCGAGTAGAAGACGAATGCGTGGCGTACACTAGGGGGTCCAGGAAATTGCTAGTTCTATTCCTCGAAGGTTTTCAGAGATTTCTTTTCCGTGCCTACTTAATAGGCAGAATAGACCTTATACAAAGCAGTACAATCGTAGAGGTTGTACCCTTTTCGCAGTTCAAAAGTAAGTGACAAGGGCCTTGAGGTCTTCATTTGTCACAGTAACCCCACCCACTTGTTGATAGTCCCACCCAACAAGGAAACAGCATTGCGATAACGTCTATAAGAGGCCGACAATTACCATATCTGCGCGAGACCTTATGAGTCGCCCCGCTTACCTTTCTGTTCTCTCATCCTTTGACTCTCTCTCTCTCTCTCTCTATCTCTATCTCTCTTGCGACTTCTTCTTCCCAAGGTTCCCTTATAATACGCATTCTCGTGCAAAGCTCAAAACAGCTGCAAGGGGAGGGGCTTACTTGCAGTGCTTCCCACCGTTTAGTACTTCTTTTCGCTAAATTCGCCTTCAAAAGATTGATTGCCTACGGTGATGGGTAATCGGTCAAAACTGTTTTCCCAATAAACAGGACTTCCTGAACTTCTTGATTTATAGTTTAAGTGATTTTTGAAAACTTCCTCGGCCATTTGATAAATGTAATTAATTATTCAGAGCC